TACATACTCTTAAAACATTTAAATTTATCATAAAAGTACAAATTCATAGCTTACTTGGGTATGTGACAATGCAGTAAGGTAGAGAAGAGTGTTCTTGGCTGCTGTTACGTCGGGATAAAAGATCTGCAGTGTGAGGTTTGGCATTGGAAAATGTTCACCTTTTTCAATCTATGAAAAAAGAAAAATGTTTTGATTAGTTCTTTCCTTATTTTGTTAGTTTTTGATTGTGAGTTTTTTCCTTTCCTGTATTTTTATTTTTTCTTTTTATTTTTACATTTCCACAGTCAGTTACTTTTCCAAGAACAGCTTCTTGTGAATTAGCAGACATATTCTTCTGTAGTCTTTGTAATACAATGCTCTGTTGAAGAAAATCAAATTAACAGGATGAAAGAGGCCATTTTGACATAAATTCCTTCTTGTTGTCTTGCTTACTGTATCTTCTTATCATCTGGGAAGATCATAAAATGTCTTTCATTTCAATATATAATAAACACCCAAATACTTTAACATAGGAGAGAAGCCACTGTATCAGTGGTGGCTTCTACTGGTTCCTCCTCAGATATGCTTAGGTAACTGCCCTTCCAATCACCTGCTCCTCTCTCCTCTTTTCTCTGAGACTCTTTCTGGAAAGGCTTGCTGCGGTTGAGGATGGAGAAATACCTAGGTGGAATTGCTGACAGGGGAATTAGTGATCTTGTCTCTGAAGTGGCAAACTTAATAAATGCTTAAGAACCTTTTACCCTTTTTTCTTCTGGCTACTCATTTGCCCATTTGTCCACAAAAGCTTTGACATAACTGGATTTAAGCTTTTATACTTAAAAATGTAACTGAGTAAAAGACTATAGGTGGGCTAAAAAATAAGAAAAAACCGCTTTGCCTTTGCTATTTAGTGAGAGCAAGAATTTTCCCATGGCTTGTTTTTTACAGATAGAAATTGATTCCTAGATTTTTATGATTTTTGTATGGGACCCTTGCTCAGTTTTGGATTATGACACTGGGAAACAAGGATGCTCTCAAGATAAGTAAATTCAGTCCTGCAGCAAATTTAGGCTGCGCTTTTAGTCACAGATTCATTGAATCATGGACTGGTTTGGGTTAGAAGAGATCTTAAAGATCATCTAGTTCCAACTCCCCTTGCCATGGGCAGGGACACCTTCCTTCCGCTAGAACAGGTTGCTCAAAGCCCTGTCCAACCTGGCCTTGAACACTTGCAGGGATGGGGCATCCACAACTTCTCCAGTGTCTCACCACCAGATATCTTTCTGATATCCAATCTAAACCTGCTCTCTTTCAGTTTAGCCATTCCCCCTTTCCTATCACTACATGCCCTCATAAAAAGTCCCTCTCTGGCTTTCTTGTAGGCCCCCTTTAGGTACTGGAAAGCCACAATGAGATCTCTCTGTAGCCTTCTTCAGGCTGAACAGCCCCAACTGCTCCAGACTGTCCTTGTAGGAGTGGTGCTGCAGCCCTCTGATCATCTTTATGGCCCTCCTCTGGACCCATCTTAGCGGGTCCATGTCCTTTGTATTTTGGGAGTCTGGATGTAGCAGTCCAGCAGGGATCTCACAAGATACTTCGCAGTATTCATTCCATTAGGAAGACCACATTCTTGGAGCATGGCATTTGCCTTACAAATTTGACTCAATTTTGGAAATAGCCGTTCTGAACTGCAATGGGCATAGGCCAAATTCTCATTTACCAGGACATGCTCTCTTTCCCCAGCTGAGGATAGCAGCTCTAAAACCCACCAGAACTACGCTGCAGGAGATGGACCACTCTCAGACTCTCTGACTCACATTATTCCAAAGGAAGGGGAAAAAAAAGTGTAAAACACAAAATATGAATGGAGAAGGTTTAGCAGTTTGCATACCTGCTATTTTAGTAATAGGCTATCACATTAAGCAATTCAAGACAAAAATAAAAAAAAAGAAGAAGATTACGCTAGTACCTATATCGTACATTTTTAATCGTTTCTTACCCTATAATGTAAAGTAACTTCATCCCCGATCTGCTCTGTTGTGTTAATAGCGGTAGGGATGGTATCATTTGCCCCAATTATAACATGGTGCTCTTTGAAAATGCTGTGGGTTTAAAAACACACAAAAACCCCAGTAAGCACAAAAACTTCATAAAAATCTATCAGTTAATAACATAAGCCTTTTCATTATTTAATGAATTTCAGGACTAGTCTTGCAATTAAGAGTGCACTGCTACTTCCACTGAAGTTCAGCTGTTCTGTTTTCTGAGTAGGCCTCACTTTTTATTACATACATTTAGAATGTTTTGTTCAGATAAAACTACAAAATGAGCAAATATTATTCCGAAAAATAATCCATCAGAGTCTGATTTTGCTTTTCTTATTCTAGTCGTGCAGTCCCTTATCCTGGGTATTGCCACGTGAGACAGGCAGCCTCCTATAAAAGACAGAATCAAGCAAAACCAGAACAAAACCAGCATGTTCTAAATCCAACCTGATTACCTGTGGGACAAACAAAGACTGGATTTGAACCATGAAATGCATCCAAAATGAATTTGGCTTAATTATTTATACCTGCAAACCATGCAATGTAGTTTACTAATAGTACTCCTAAAGCTTTTCAGATATGGAATTTAACCGCATTCTAGCTATTTCTGAAAATAAAGGCTACTACAAGACCTGCACTAACGTTTAGGTCTGAACTTATAAAAACAAACTCTAAGAACCTAAAATTAAGAATAATTTTTGAAGATGGAAATCTAACACCACACCACAAAATATTATAGTGATATAAAGCCATGGCCATCAGGAAGCTGATGTACCTGAAACACTTTGAATTAATATGGCAAAGTACAGGAACAAAGAACAGTAAAACCTGCTGTTTTACTTACAAACTGCAGACCAAATTTAAATAGATAATACTTAATTACAGCCAAATATGGGCAGTAACTGCTCCAATATTTCATGTAATTTCTCTTTTCACTAAAGCCTGTGCTTCCTTTTTATGAGCCTTGAAGCTGTTGTCAGTAAATACTGAGCACAGTTCAACAGCTAAACAACACTGTATTCTCTCTGAACACCTGCTATTTGCTGTGCGAACAAATAAAGTACAGAGAAGCATGAATACCTTACAAAGATTAATCCTACTTCATATTTTACTGGAATTGTAACATGTCCTCTGTTATCACTCAACGTCTCAGGTGGTTCTTCACTGTCACTAAAACAAAACAACACATGTCACTCAGATCAGACTGTTGCAGACGCAGCACAACTGCTGGGTGGAAAAGGATCTTAAGAAACTGAAATACCTACAGCTCTGATACAAAAGCATACTACTCATTTCCAGTTAATTCCTGTCTCCTAAAAATAAATTCAAAATACTACTTCCAATAACTGATAAGTCCTGCACCAGCTCCAGCTCATAAAAGCATCTTTGTTAAAATTACAGACTGCAGCTGACTGAATGAAAATGGGAAAATTAAGGGCCACACCATCCCTGGGTTTTGTAGGGACAATAAACACTGCATTCCCCTTTATTTTATCAGAGACTACAGCAATGCTCTTACTCTTTGAAGGCCAGAGCTTTTTGTTAACTGTGATTCATGCTAAAGTATGCCGTAATTTTGTAGGAGAATAAACCTTTGCTGAAGGTAAAAGTACCAGAAATTATGACTCATTTGTGACTCTCAGGTTGTAGAGGCTAACAGCTATTTATGTAGTCCACTCAATCCACTGCTGAACTGAATACATCTGTAAGGGTACCAGCTCTATAGATGGCTTACCACTTCTGAGTTTAGAAGTCATCTGTGTTTTACTACAAAACACAACACTGTAGAGCTTTCTAAGAAAAAAAAGATCAGAAGGCAAAGACTGCAACTAACCTTGTTGTGTATACATGAATAGTAGCATTTTCCAGGAGATACGATGCGTTGAATTGAAATGATATTTTGAAGGAAATCTGTGTAGAGAAATATATTATGTATTTTAAAAGGAAAAAAAAACCCCAACACACTAACAGGGCTTGATATAATGAAAATTGTACAAATTTTTGCTACTTTTATCCATAGAATCCTTAGTCATGTTTTATCAGTTTTCTATGAATGAATCCACTATTTTGAATTTGTCCCAACCAAGAAGGAAATATAACAGTTATCACTTGCTAAAGAGAAGACTGTTTTCAATTTCAAAACTGAGAAATCTCGGGGAAATAAAATAGAAACCTGTCTTAGATATTTCTTTAAAGAGGCTTTAAAAAGGAATGATTAGGAATGCTTATTAGTGAGTCAGAGATTACTTGATTTTTGACGCAAAGTAGATGGTGAAATTTCTAAATTTAGGGCTCTGTAGCTACAGGCAAACTAAGAATTGAAGCATGAAAGGAAAATATGAAAAATCCCGCAAAGCTGGGAATGGAACATCGTGGGCACAGGCATTGGATAGTATGCTTATTTGGCTGCAAGAAGGTAACTGATGACTTAATCTCTACAAGTCCAAGACACAAACTGGAATGCATGTGTGTGTGGGCAATGTAAGAAGACATATTTCATGATTCTCCCTCTGCATGACAGAGGAACAAAGAAGAAACTGCCAGGAAAAACAGTCTTTTTTGCATGCAAATTGATTTTTACCAATTCAATATCAGAACTATCTAAGTACGGCTTTTCAAAGGCTTAGTTTAGCTAAAGCTCCCTTTCTATTCCAACAGGAGATACAGACATCAGTGGTGGTGTTCAAGGTGGAGTTTGATTTTGAGTAGACTACTTGCTGGAAAGGCCTCTCATTCCTCACTGAGCAGAGGTGAAATCTTGATGTCTGACTTTGCAGATCTAGGTTAGTATTTCCATATACAAACTTATTGTCTCTTCAACAGACTAAATTTTATATACAAAATAACTAAAGTTATAGGTTCCAGGCTGCAGAGAGCCTATGTGTCATATCAGTATATCCTAACAAATACTCTATACACCTAGACACAGACACTTCTGGCCAGGTGCGTCACTTGTTTTCTGACAGTGTCAAGGATGGCAATACACATCTGTTACCTCCTTACATACCACAGCTGACTGCCCAGGTACTGAATATCTGATGTTTTCCCATTTGGCTCAGTGCAGCTACCATCAAGGATAGTTTGGGAAACATGAAAGGACAGTTTTGGGGATGTACACAAAAGAAAAGAAATTCAGAGGTGTTAGGGACTGCCTTGGCTTTAGAACAATATGGGGCAAGGAGAATTTGCATGCAGGGGGACTTTTTACCTCTTCTGCAGGTTTTAGAAATGGATATCCCACTTTACAGGTGATGTTGTGATTAGATTCACAGCTATCTTTCTGTATATCCTACAGGGAAAAAGAAAGTGAAGAAAACTTTAAATTTTGACTAAGCATCAAGGACCTGCTGCACATATATATACCACTGCTGCTTTTCATTGTCAAAATATTGTAAGAGTCAAAGACTTAACTGAACTAGAAGAAAAATAGGGAGACACAAATTCTGCAGAATAATTGCCACCTATGGATATCTACATCAATTACTAGCCATTATTCCTTTCCAGCGATGGTGTTTGGAACACTTGGAATTCCATGCCTACTGGACATCATGGAAATTAGTTAAGGGGTCTAGCACATCAACATATCTATAATTGCACAGTTTTAACATGCAATTTTTTAAATATGTTCCTAACATAGCAATAAAAGTGACTTTCATACTCCATCATTTATTGCCACAAGGTCAGCAATAGTGCAGTGGATCCCTGACTTCTCCTAATATGCAGCATCAGGACTGTTGACTACTGATTAGGACTTCTCCTAATATTTCTCACCTGAACTGAGGTGAATTTGTAGCAAATCTGCTGAGGCAGGCAGAAAAACAGCCCCTTCAGAAATGCTGTCTGATATAGAGACGATGCAGGCACGGATCTATTCTGTCCTATGAAGACATTGCTTTTCCTATACACATGCAAAAGGAGAATTCTAGGGACTCAGGGGTTCTATTACAAATAACAAGGCATTTCTGGCTCTGTAGATCTACAAATGATTCATGGTGCTGACGTTCCTCTAAGAGGCAGGCACTTTGTCCAAGTGTCATTGTGAAACTTGTGTCTGTAGTTAATGGATGAGGCTAGGCAAAAGCCTGTTCAGGTCAAAATAAATACTCTAAATTTTAGAGTGATAAGCCAGGACAAGAGCCCTTCAAACCAACTGAGATGATGCTAGAGCAGTCAAATTCAGGTTTAATAAAGAGGCTTCCTCAGATCTCTCTAGAAATATAGGTTGTGATAAATTTCATAATGTGAAAAAAAATCCTACCTCAATGCCAGCAAAAATAATATTTGGAGAATATTGAACCAAAACTCTGGTATTATAGGCACTGTCTTTTTTGTTCTTCACAGAGAGCTGGATCATGAATTTATCATTGCGTGACTTTACAATGAATGGAGAAGAGCTGTAAAATAAAGTAAGAATGTTGGACATCTTAACTGTTGAATCTGTGTTTAACATAAAGAGGAACTTCTTCCAGTGTCCAGACTATCTTGTTTCTGACTTGGAAAGGATGCCACAGCATTATTTTACTAGACCACAGAATTTATAATTGACATAGAAACTTTATACAGATATCAAGTGATACAATAAACCCAGTGTAGTTACCTGTCTCCTGCTATGCTTGCTTTTACATTAAGAACAAGATCTGAAATGCATTTATTCTTGGCTCCACAATCTTTTGTGAAAGGAATCTGCAAAAATAGCATGTTTACTCTTAATTTTATTGCAATTCTTGTTAAATACTTGCATTTTAATGCATTATCTAGTTTTATATAAGGTCTTCTGTTTGATAATCAGAAAAGTCTGCTCTAATATTAATCAGTTAAACATGCCAATATCCTGTAAAATGTGGTGAAACATAAGCTTTCTAATCATTCCCTTCTAAGAGATTTACCTAGATTCTGAAAAGAAGCATTAGTAGAAGTATGAATTATGCCAAACACCACCAAAATAAATGGCTAATATTCCCATGCTCTCTTCTGTCTTCAATTAACTATGGACAGCTTTAAAACCCCAGCCTGGTTCGCAAGCACATTGAATCATGCTTTTTATTCCTGAATACTCATTTAGCGGAAACATATCCTAGATAGGCTCAATGACCCACCCTCTTTAGCCAATTTGTGGACAACAGTTTTGGCTCTTGTGTGGGCTACAGTTTCTACCTTAAATACTTTGGTTATTGATACAGAATCTTACTAACTTACGTATTCAGATATTGAATTTGGCAGGTTGCTATCAAGAACAGGTCCACTCTCTGGATCAGAAAAATTGAACTCCAGCAAAACCTTTACAGAGTCCTGAAAGTCAGGTTTATCCTAGAACATAAAGAAAACAAAACTGCTGTTATGGACATTCAGTTTAGTATCTAAGGAGGTTAAAAAAAAAACCCAAACAATGCTGAGGTAATATATTTTTCAGTCATGTTGTTGCCATCCTTGCTAGAGAAGCATCTGAGTGCTTGCAATTGATAAACATCTAATGTGCCAATCCTTACAAAGATCTACTAATGTTTTGTGTGTCTTATTATAAAAAACATCATATAGTCTGAGCATGTCCAACACAGTTTTTATTTAAGAATATCTCAGAACTGTCAACTCATAGACTTTCCTCTTTAGTGTGCTCAAAGGATCTGTAAGATGAGCAGCAGCAGCAGTATTACCTTGTGTGAAATCGAACTTAGGCCTGGTATTGGGAGAAGAAAATTCTGGGCATCATTCATCATTAGTATTGAATTATGATACAACTGTGAAGCCACTAAACATTTTAATTGTGGGTAGCTTATAATATGCAACTCCATTCACTCTGCTCCTTAGGTACATTCTGGGCAATTTCATACTCACATTTCTGTTTTGCAGTGGATAAGTATTCTCTGTGCCCAAACCTAATTTGCAAGTTTTTTTACTATGTTTTAGTAGGAGGAAATGCACCAATATGCGAACTCTAGCTCACATGCACCTGCTGAGTTTTGAGTGCACCTAAACTACTAACCACGATAGCTGGTTGGTTCCACCAACTGTGGTATGTTCGTTCTTAAGACAGACACAAATAGAACCATAGGTAAAGAGACTGTACATATAAGTAAATAGTTTATACATGTATAAATAAATAAATCTAAGTGTTAAACAAATTTTACAAAATTTCTTAAGATTAATTCCATACACTGATTTTGTTGTCCAATTTACAGTTAATGGAATGCATATTTGGGTTATGGTGTCAACATGAAAAAAATACTTTAAATGATTTACTTGCCAACATGTAGAAGTTATGTTTAGTACATTCTGACCCTTTGATAGTTATATTTTTTTGCATTTTCCTCTCATGGCTTTCTGTGAACAAGCTTCGAGATATTTGTCTTTGTGAGTCAAGAGTAATCCAATACTGCATACCTGCAAAGGAAGTTGAGATCAATATTAGGAACCACTTTGCCTCTACACATTCTTTTTTCTCAAAATATCTTAGATGCACTTTGAATAGTGAATTTAGAAAAGTTACATTCCATTTTTTAATTAATAAATGGATTCAAGCGTAGCAGTTTTATAATTTAGATATTCCATAGTTTAGCGCTTATCTACTTACTGGATTCAAATATATCTTCTTTTGACTTTAGTCTGGTCTTAAAACAAATTGTGGCATTTATACATATTGTTTTTCTTTTATTTATCTGGCAATTTTGTTGTTGGATATTGATACTTTTAGGTGTGAATTGCATGGAAACATTTACTTCAGCCACATCACGAGACCTTAAAAAAAAAACAAAGAAAGTCCTTGGAAATAACAGCAGCAACTTTTTTAAATTTAAGAATCAACTCACAAAGTGTGCAAATTTCAATCTTCAACATTCAAATACAGCTATAGAATTGCAGAATCATAGAATTGTTTAAGTTTGAAAAGACTTTTAAGATCATCGAGTTCAACTGTCGAAACACGTCTAGCTAAAAGGAAAAAAAACCCTTAACGTTCTTTGGAAAATAACAGAAGTGCAAAATCCACAATTGAAATGGGATTCCTGTGGCACATGGTGGTGGTACCATGCTGCAGTGCAGTTGCAGGCACAGCACTGGCCATGTTGTGTCAGTTAAGGGGTCATGTTTTATCATGTCTTCTGTCCTGGCTGTGTGATGCTGTGCAACCACCTGGTAGTTGCAATGCACTTCTCTGGCACATTTTCTTTCTGCATTTGCCTTTCTCCATTTATGCAGACTATTACACACCTGCGAACTGCCATTACAGAGAGAACTCATCATACAGAAACAAAAAAGTGAGGAACACAAAGAGGAGGGAAAGAAATATCTTTAGCAGCCAAAACCTATAAAGCTGTGGAGCACTTTTAAAAGCTCAACTTTTAAAATCAATCAGGAGGGAAAACTCCTGAAGAACTGGGGACAAGAGCAATGTGAGTCTAGAGAAATGGGTCTAGAGAAGTAACTAACTATATATTCTATACATAATACCAGTGAAAAAGAAATTACAGAGGAAACAGTCACAGGGTTTCTCCACACTGGTGTACTTGTTTCAGAACAGATACCAGGTGAAATATTTCCAAAAGCATTTAAGCAGTTCTGTAGAGCCAGTCCCATTTTATGAGACTGAAGGCCCAGACTCATTGTCAAGAGTATCCACAGATGAACATAATATTATACATAAGCTGGAGGGCAGTGTGCCATCTCTTAGGTTCTGAGTAGATAAACAGGCTGAGATTCACCCCTAATTTGTTTCTTTTTAACTCTTTTTAACCCCTTCAATGCATTCCTGTCTCATCCTTTGCTCTGATTCAGTTCCCTTTTGGCCATGAGATGCATTATGTCAGTGTACTAAACCAGCAAAAAATTTAGCTGGCAAAATAACTTTCTTCAGATTTGTGATCTAACTAATGCAGTGAAAGGGCATGACACTTTGTTCACACATGGAGCTTTTAGAAAGAAACCACCAGGTGAAGGTGAGGAGCTGGGAGCTTGAGGATGGTAGCAAGCCTTGACAAACTTTGACCACCTAGCAGGTCAGTCAGGTGAAACAGCAGGACAGCGAAGGCAAGGATTAGCAGTGGGTTAGCAAGTTCCATAACAGGGACAGAAATAGTTTTAGTTGTGCTTTAGAAATGAGGGGGTTCATATCATATTGTTTATTTCTCGTATCTCTCAAATATTGTATTGCTCATTATGACATCTGAATCATACTCTCATATAAAGAAAATGAATTCACTGTTAACCAGAAAACTTAGTTAAATTTTTCAGATTTTCTGTGGGAAGTCAAACAGGAGTTTTCACATTAGGAAATAAAATCACTTTTCTTAGTGACCCCTTTACATTTGAACCTGTTCTTGATACTGTTAATAAGATAATATGCAATATACTGTGAAAAAAAGAACAATTAGGGGTTGCTCCTATTTTACATAGTGCCACAATTAGAATTAGTTTCTATTTTGAAGATAGTCTAGGAGGGTAAGTTCTTCATACTAGGCTAACAAGGTTTCTATAACATTCCTGTATTTATAACTGTATACACTGTTTTATGCTCGTTCCTCCAGAGAGACATTAAAAGATGAAGATTCACAGTCAGTGTCAAAGCATGAGATGAAACCAGTATCCTGATGAAACCAGTCACACATTCAAGTTACATTGGTACCAAAAGCAAAAGTTTATGTCCTGACAGTTGCTGTGAGTCTCCATACCAGAAGAGGGCGGCCCCACCAAGGCCTCCGATGGTAACATCAATCAGCCCGTCATCGTTTAAATCCATTTCTCCATGCACAGACTGGCCAAAAAATTTCACTTTTTCCCCATCTCCACCTGATGCAATACGCTGTGAAATGTGTAAAAAGGTTAATGCAATGCACATTGGAGGGTTTTATAAGAGCAGTCAAGATGCATTTGATGGCAATGAGATGGGGTTTAGATGCTTTTAAGTATATTAAATTTTCATTACAATACTCCTAAAACAGTGACCATGGTGATGAACGCACTATAAATTTTCAGATTGCAAAACATCTACTTTTTGGCTGTACAGATCACATTAGAATGTTTCTAACAGAAACAAGCAAATATATTTTCTAACACCATTAAGAGCCAGATTCAATTAAATCAGTATGAGTTCAAAAGTACAGAGCAATTTTAAAAAAAGAAGCTGTTACAACTGGTCAAGTCACAGTTTGATACTAAGTTGGGAAGACAGGGTTATATACATTATATACATTAGAGAGGCTGGCAATCTCCAAAGTTTTATTTCATACCTGTGAATATTTTTTACTGATTGCTTTGCCACGGCCATGATAAATATAAACAGCTCCCCGATGGTCATCCTCTAAGGGAGAACCTACTACAATGTCATTATATCCGTCAAGATTGAGATCCTTCACTGCAGCAATTGCAGTCCCGAAGCGGGCACCACAAGGCTCATTCTTAAGAACCTTGCAGGTGTCCTGTTTTAACGGTGAACAGCATGTCTGCTTTACAGGCTCGAGACTCATCTGATATTCAAAATTTGTCTGTGAAAGAACAGATTTGCAGTTTGTGAATTTCCATTATTGTTTTAGCAATGCAAACTTATAAGAGCTCCTGTCCAGAAGACAAACAGATGAATTAAACAAAACAATTACATTCTATTCCTAGTGATTGATTGCACTGTAGAAATTGTGATTCTATAACTATAATTCAAATGCTCTTTATGAGCAGTGTGTGGGAAAGACATTCTTGCTTCCCCTCTTTCTGTATCTAGATGCTTCTGCATACTTCTTGAAGTTAGAGTTTCACAGGAAAGCATAGTATCATAACAACTTTTGGATGTTATTGTAAGTAAACCACTTCATTCTTTAGATAGTGTAAAGAGTTTTTCTAAAGGCATTCTCTTAATCTGAGAAGTTAGCCAAGTTTCTGATGAAACACAGATGGTAAAACTGTTATTCCAGAATAAAAGATAGCATTTCTTCTACTTAGACTGAATTTTGCCCTCAGTACACACATTCACCATGGCCTAACATACATGATCTGATCCAGAGTCCATCCTAGACCAAAAACACACAGACACTATGGTATTTAACCAATCTTTCCAAGAGGTTGGTCACATGTGTTCCATGTTAGAGATTAGCAGTGGCAAGCAGTTGTTGTATTTCCTTTCTTTGGAGAAAATAAAAGGAAACACAGGAAAGACAAATTTCAAACCCCAAATTGCTGGAGGACATGGAATTTTTGTTTTCTCACCAACTCTATTCACCAGCAATCTGTTGTTAGTGACATGAATGTAGAAATTGGAAGAATTACTTGTCAAATATATCCAGTATCTCCAGGTCTCTTTCTTGAACCAATATTTTAGGAGACCATCATTGCTAAGACATATTTTGATAATTGTTATAACAATACACAATGGTGCTGGACTAAAAGAAGAAAAAAAAAGAAGAAAAAGTATTCATAGACATTGGAAGGAGAAACTTATCAAATTAAGAAACTGAGGTGTGGCTGCTATAATCCTCAATCTAGTGGGACATGTTTAAAAGCTGTTGAGTGTATGGTGTTTAGCTCTAGGTTGCTAAGCAAGTCGCAAGGAGACTGGAAATCACACTTTTAGGATGGATGAGCCTTACTGTTTCCTAATCTATGAAAGCAAAAAGAAAATGTGATAGAAAATTTATCCTATAAATTTGCATGTATGCCATATTGTGGCTTATAGGATATATACATAATACAGTATGTTAGAAAGAGTTTGAGAATAAAGTTTTAAAATTAGTTGCATTATAAGCTTAATTGTCAAAACTGTGTTTCTCTATTTTCAACAGGTCATCTTCCCCAGTTCAAATTATCATCTTTCTTTAAAATAAGGATATGAAGACAGTAAAGAGCATGCTCTATTCCTGATAAATAAACATCGTTCTTACCTTGTTCAGACTGTAAACATATACCTTCCCTTGCTCCTCTTTCTCAGTTCCCATATACATAGGAGCTCCAACAAGAAGAAGGTCTGTAAATGAGTCCCTATCGATGTCGACTGTGGTAATAACACCCCCAAAGTATGACCCAATCTGTAGGAAAACGTATACATCAGAGACAGCAAAGTCATGCAATATTTCTTTTTCAGAGACCTATTATGGCTTGTTTACAACAATGCCAAATGTTAACCATTAGGCAGAAATGTTCTTTGCTACCTAGGAGATTTTCTTGGTTGGTTTGCCTTTGAAGCTTGTGTTCAGTTTTAGTGTTTGCTGTCTGATATTTTTATTTAAGAGTGGTCCATTCAACTTGCAACTCTTTTGAGTTTGAAACTTGCTTTGGGGAGTAGGGTGTCTTAAGACAGCATTTGAATAGAAGTATCTTAGGGAAGCTAATTTTCTCTTCAAAAAAGAAGCAAAAAGGCTGCAACAGAAGCTCTGAGATAACTCAGTGCAAACAGCATTCAAAATTGTCAAGTTGCCAGTAAATGCAGAGGTAAAAAGTCTACACAAAGAGCTGGATATGTTCAAAGGTACAAGCTGTAGGATTTATCTGATTACATTCACTTCACAGCTAAGCTAGCTGCATTTCCTTTATGCTTAACATAGTCTCTTCTAGTGCAAGATATATCTCATCTCACAGAGATGCTTCAAGTAGTCCAGATCCATCAAACCTTAAAAATCACAGAATCCCAGAAAGGGTCAGGTTGGAAGGAATGACAGTGGGTCATCTCGTCCAACCTTCCTGCTCAAGCAGGGCCACCCCAGAGCACAGTTCTTGAATATCTCCACTGAGGGAGACTCCACACCCTCTCCGGGCAAACTGTTGCAGTGCGTGGTCACCTGCACAGTAAAGAAGTTCTTCCTCATGTTCAGATGGAACTTTCTGTGCATCAGTTTCTGTCCATTGCCTCTTGTCCTATTGCTCAGCACCAGTGAGAAGAGCTTGGCTCGATCCTCTTGGCTTCCGCCCTTCAGATACTTATAGACATTGATGAGGTCCCCTTTCAGTCATCTCTTCTTGAGGCTGAACAGGTCCAGTTTTCTAATACCTATTTGAGTTCATTAACTCTAAAATGATTGACTGATTAGCTGAGTTGCAGACATCAGCTATAGGTGAAAATTGGGTAATTTGAATGCTTCTGAGAGAAGCTAGTACTTCAGCCTGGGGACACCTGAGCAGGCAGGTCTTTCAATCCTCATAAGCATAATATTTTTGTAATAGTACCATATTTAATTATGCAATTACATGTTGTTTCTTCTTCCTGCAGCAACAGCTCTCAGTGAGCTCCTACTCAGTATAACAAGCAACTGTTCAATATTTCATTCTATTCCAGCTGATGCTCTTGCACAGAACCCTGCTTGTCACAACTTGTTTCCTGCCAGTGACATGCCCTTCTACTCATCAGACAGAGAAAATTGCATGTACAGAGATGGTAACAAGCACTTTGACACTGGTGTGGGTTTAACCCTCAAAGAGAAAACTACCAAGAATCTCTGAGTCCTGTAGAGTCCACTTTCCATTGCAAATTATACTAGAGGATCTGCCTAACTTTTTCTTCTGATCTTGCTTACAAATCCCAGTTTCATGAGCTCTGCTAATGAGTTCTCATTTGAAATGCTTATTTTTATTTCTCCTGCCTTATTCCTCTTGTATGTTAATCACAAATGCATACTCACTTGTTCTCCATTTAATCTCTGAATTACTTGCACCTCTTTTCCTTCCATCTTATAAATGATAACTTGGCCAGTGTGATTGTATCGTGGCTGTCCTGCTATGTACAGTACACCTCCAGGTGTCAGTGCTGAATTCACAGTATATCCTAGGAAGCAGAAAGAAGTCAAGATGCTGTACACACAGAATGCATCAGAAATACATGCTGTGATTTAGAGCATTTTTAAGGCTAATTCTACAACTAGATGTTTAGCCCTACTTATGCTAGAGAAAAATAGCAGAGTTAATTAAAAGGGCTCAATGTGTATTTGCTTACAGTCTCAGAATCATGAGCACCACTGTGTTACTAAACCTGTTCACAGGCTGGTGAGCCATGTTCACTTGGCCATTCTCACACAGTGTAACTATATAATGGTGGTGATGAAATGAATAGCTGGTTGAAAAGCTACTTTCAAAGAACTGTTGTCACCAGCTCACTGTCGAACTAATAGAGTGTTTCAAAAGTGATTCTGCTGGCATTTTGAACCTAGCTCTGTTTAATAATAACGATTTAACAAATTCGGTGAAGGAAGACTTAAAAAATGTGCAGATGAATCAAAACTGTGGAAGAGTTGCAAGCGTTATGGAGGATAGGATCTAAATTAAAAATGACTTTACCAAATTTGAGTTATAAAAATGCATTCTGCAAAGAAGACAGTGTATTTTGGGAAAAAAATTATTCTTGTGTTGATTCTTCGTCAATGAAAGTGTGGCTTAAATGAGGTAACAGAGTAAACAGAACAATGAGGTGTAGAAAGTAAGACTGAGAGGAGAGAGCAAGGCCACTGAAGCTTTTTGGTAGAAAAGGATGAGAGGATAATAGTAGCCTTCCCAATATGCAAAACATTATTATAAAAAATGATGTTGGTCTTTTGGTCTTGTCCATTGAGGGACAGAAAACAACTTCATTTTAAGCAAATATTTAGACTGAGTATTGTATAAGACTTTTTAACTATCAAGGCATAGAAAAACTTGATAAGAATACTAGAGGAATCTGTGAAATCTTCTCTGAACAGATTAGATGTCTCTTTTGGGAAAGTCTAGATACACTTAAGTCTATGTTTGGATTAATTTTATGATTGTAGAAGCAGAAATTTATTTTTTCAAAAGAACAAGAAAATCATACAGTAGACTCATTCCCAGGCTCCTAGAATATATGATAATATTCTACAAGATACTCTTTCTGAATGAGCTTTGAGAGAGGTCTTGTAGCATTTGTTGAAAAGTGTTGTAACGTGGGCTATTTCTCTTACCTAGATAGGCTGCAAGTGGTTCGTTTCTCTCGGAAGTCCTGTCACGAAAGGTGTCATTAGTTGGCATTGAAATACCACTGTCCTTCACCATTAGCACTGTGCCATTCCAGTCATATGCTCCAACTGCTCCAAGCATGATCCAATCCTTAAACAGAGAAAAACAAAAAGCCTGCTGTCTATGTGAATCATCTTTAGATATTCATGGTTCAGGATGCTCACGTTTGAGTAATGCTTCCCGTATACTTACGTAGTTAGCCTTGCTTTAGCCTTGCTTTTCCTATTATAGTATGGCCCCTATCATAGAATCGTAGAAAGGCTTGGGTTGGAAATGACCTAAAGATCATCTAGTTCCAAACCCCCTTGCCATGGGCAGGGATGCCACCCACTAGATCAGGTTGTTCAGGGCCCCATTCAACCTGGCCTTGAACACTTCCAGGGACAGGGCTTCCACAGCTTCTCTGGGCAACCTGTTCCAGTGCCTTATATCCCTCTATTTAAAGAATTTCTTCCTAACATCTAATCTAAATCTCTCCTCTTTTAGTTTAAAACCATTCCCCCTTGTCCTATCACTATCTGCCTGTGTAAAAAGTCACTCTCCCTCTTTTTTATGAGCCTCCTTTAGGTACTAGAAGGTTGCTCTAAGTTCTCTCTGGAGCCTTCTCTTCTCCAAGCTAAATAACCCCATCTCTCTCAGCCTGTCTTCATAGCAGAAATGCTCCAGTCGTCTGGTCATCTTTACAGCCCTGCTCTGGAACCGTCTTTCAATTGAAAACAGTGTCCCTTGTCCTGGTAAAAAGTCTTTCTCCACCTTTCTTAACATATTTTTAGGCTATTCCTCTGATAGAAAGTGCTATGGGACCATTAGATTTAGAGTTCATGTGAAGTATATACTTACTCTCTTAAGCTTTCATTGTTCATAACTGTTCTTTACATATTTACAAAAAACATAACTGGATTACAGGACACTCCAAAACTTCCAAAAGCAAACAGGACTATACAAGGAATTCTGAAACACTCCAAATTCACAGAATCATCAGCAAATATCTACTTTATAAAATAACTTTTATTTTCAAAGTTTGTTTACCTGAGAATAATGAGCACTAAAACCAGCTTGAGACATTTCCATTTCAAATGAGGAGGCCTGCTGGTCTGTTGTGGCTATTAAACAGAAAAAATTGAGTTTCAAAAATAAATTAGTTTCAGTCTGAAAAAACAATTGAAGAGTGTAATGAAAATGCTCACATGATAGTAAAGGATAGCATAAACTAACTAAACTATTGGTTGAATATAGTGTGCCACAGATTTTTATAATAAACACAGAAATAAAGAGCTATGTTAAATGCTACCATTAAGTTTGAGAGTTTCCATTTAAGGAACTTGTCCAACAAAGTTTCTGGGCTAAAACTGACCAAATTTGAACTCAGGCTGATGGTAAGTATGTTTGGAATGTTTGATTAATATGGTTAAGCCATTTTCCACTTGAGCTAAGTGAACAATAAAACACCAGCCATGTAACCCTGGCCTTGTATTCAAGCAACTAAAAATTTGTAGGCAGCTGGAGGAACTTTAAATGAAAAACACTTGATGTTTGTATGAACCTCTGCAAAACCAACATAGGAAAATCTCTGCTGTCCAAGATTCATAAGCCTTAGCAAAGGGCTTGGGAATGATAATCCTGCTCAGAAAATTACATGAAGATGTTATTGATTCTCATAAGTGATTTTATAAAAAAAGGTATTGATTTTGTTCCTAGCTTAAGTATCTTGTCAGGTACTCATATGCTAGTTATTAAACTCTGATGCACTGCTTTGCTCCCAGGTAAACTTGAAATATCATCAGGGAAGAAAAGGTTCTGCCTTTTCCTGTACTTAAAAGGAAGATATGTAGTCCTTAACAGTCAAAAACTATTCTGCCACTTTAAGTGACCAAGTAAGGGAACAATATTCTGCCTATTGATTCTTCCTTGAAGGGGGCTATGAAATCTGCTCTGATGTTGGTCCAGGAACAGTTCACAGTTTGCTACCAGCTGAGTGCTGAAGCAAACCCTCACTTGTGTAATGAAACTAAGCCATAGCAAGCCATGGTTGCATGAATTTCAGGCATCTGGACTATTAAATAATACTGAACTTTTGATACTCAGCAACTAAACCACAGAGGTTGCTCCCTGGGACACGATGTCTTTGCTAATTGTGGGGATTTACAGACAGTCATAGGAAGGAGACATGAACTCAAACACAAAGTGCTTGACACAAACACAGATCATTATGTTTCACAAGATGTAGCTGCTTTGCTAAGTCTGAAAAAGTAATTTTTAGGCGTAAAACTCTTGAGCTGCACATCTGTTGATAAAAAGTATTTTCATTAAGTAAAGGATGCTCCCTAATGAGCTGAGAAAAACAGGACTCTCATAGCCTGAGACACAGGACAATGCTGGTACTGTTGGTGTGTGCAGCTCTGAATGCTGCTTAGATAATGGCCCACAGTCTAACTTTCCATTCAGTTTCAAACTGCCAAGCATCTTACAAAGGATATTTTGTGAAAAAACATTTGTGCCTGCCTATGGGTTGGATAAAACATAAAATTGCCATGAGACACAGAGGCATATGAAAAAGATTATGTGTAAAAGTCCACTGGCTGTCAAGGATGGGTTTTTGTTGGATTTGATTTTTCAACTCTCTCTCAATTTTCCTCTGAATTTTTTAAAAGACAAAAACCAAAAAGAAAACAAGAAATCCAAGAAAAAAAATCAAATGTACTACTGTACTAACAAGATGCAATTTAGATTGAGAATTTAAACAGACTCAGGTACTGATTTTCCAGCAATCAAGCCATCTGTGATGCATGGAAGCCACAATGTATGGAGTCAATAAATCTTCTCCAATTACACACATTCAATACACTGGATTCTCACCAGAAAGCTGCATGGGACAGAATTAATATGCTTTTCTCCACCACCAGAAAAATACATGCCTGGACACAGTTGTGAATTTAGAATAGCAGCTGAAAGGCTTTGGGATAAGACAAGAAATTATGCCTGAAGGATCAGCAGAAATTGATTTATTCAGCATCATCTAGCTCCAGCTCAACCTTGCTATGTTTTGACAAAAAGCTAAAATCCCACTTTGAGTTCCTAAGCTGATTGTTTTGCAGCCAGATTACATGATTTCTGGGACTTTTGCAGAGGAGGCAACATTTCTTGTCTCATATTGCTGGTGTCTTATGTAGAAACCTTAGGACATCTCTGTGTTCCTACAGAAAACCTGGAAATCAAGAAGCATTTTGGCAATGATTAAATTAACTAGCTTGTCTCTTATGAGCTGGATGAATATTCCACGTTTTTAATCTCAAATGTATATTTTTTGTAATACAGTCAAGTCAATATAAAATAAAAATTGTAAATAAGGCAAATATACCAAGCAACATATAAAAAATATCAATATCCTAACACTTTATAATAAGTCTATGTTAAATAAAAAGTAAGAATATCTAAGAAATACGTATTTGTGACTGCATCACTTGCAGAAAATTGAAACTGAATTCAAGGAGTACTACAGAACTTGTTGATAGTTAAAAGAGATACAATATGCTCTATGTACCAAAGCACTGAAGTACATGATGATGAGGATTAGTCATCCCAAGAGCCAACAATCATAAAAACACATACAATTTATACAATGTAATCAAACAGTTAGTTTCATCACCATCAACATAACTAGATTTGTTTGGATATTTTATTAAGCTACAGAACTTGTTTAATGTTCAAATGTTTTGCAATTTTTTTCTTATAATTAGAGGAATGAATTACCGAAGTCAATGGAAGGGTTAGAGCTCACTACATACCACCAGCACAAAGTTCAAGCCAGCACAAGTTACTCTGCTGTTTTGAGGCTGGGGTTTCATGTGACAGGCTGGCACAACCTAATGGCTACTGACTGATAAAAGGGACAAGGTGGAGTGTGACAAACTCAGACCATCCCTTCCAGTGGTCCAAAGGATCAAACTATGGCATGAAACCTCAACTTTGAGAACGACAATTTCCAGAAACTCTATCATATCTAGTCATCTGTTGTCATGACTAGCAGTTAATTAACTTTTATTCTATATTAATTATAGCTAATAGATGTAACTAACATTTTGTTCTGATGAGGAAATACAAATATTTTTCTCACTTTTATAGAAGTATAAAGCACAAATTGAGGGGCAAGTTTCCAATTTGTGTTTGAACAACTATTTTTCCACTTAAAGTATATTCTTCCTAGTTAACAGGAACTTAAGAAAAGAGCACCCTATTCAATGAACTTTGAAGTACTCAATGAGCCTAAGTAGGCTAAACTTTGGGCTTTAGAGAGATTAGATTATCTTCAAATTAATTTGTTCCAAAGCTGAAGGAACTAAATCTTCCAGAAAGTAAAAAGAGAAGAACATATAAGCTATGTTTTAATAAACTATGTTCATTTGTAAAAATATTTAGTAATAGCTGAAAATGGTAATATTTGATCAAATTAAATGATAACTAAAAAAAAAACTCAAACTGAATGTCTGAAAAATATAGCTCCAATGTAAAAATTTGAAAATGCTCTCTCGGATTTGTACTATTTCTTGACATTCAAGTCAACATCATCTTTTGTTCCAGCTGTAAACTACACTATTCCAGTAAGTTGAAATGTTGAAAAAAATAGTCCAAGTAAATAGATGTTTTCTTTGTATGACATGAATCCCTTCAGAGTTGACCAGTATAACTTATAACTAACAAACTCCGTCTCCTGTTACCAGTATTGTATGTGAGTTTGGACAGTGTTGCCTCATTTGTATGGAGAATGTAAGCAGACATTATGAGAGACTAACTGTTCTGTGCTAAAATCTTTGTGAATCTTTCCAAAGGAAAAATATACCTTGCTAAGTCTATACATCAAATCCATGATAACTTGTATAGCAAAGTAATACACAATAATTATTAACTAACAAAAAAGAGAACCTAAAGATTCAGACAGAAAAACACATGATCCTGGGGTAATCTGGGTACGATCCAGCAATGTTTTTTACCTAAAACAACTCACATTCTTATTTACCCCAGTTAAAACAGTAATGTTACTTACCCCTTCAGGCTGTTGTCTCCATAGGTTCTAACTCCTCTGAATACATTCACATTGCTACCTATGATATTGATGTCTATTGTAAAATATTTTTATAATCAGCATGAAAAAAAATCTGTATAATAAATGTTATGCAGCACAATGCATTGCAAAGGAAGATAAAAGCAGATGTTCTTCTATTTGCTTCAGCTGTAATTCAGGCATGAAGTAAAATTTGAAATTACATCATACCTTCCAGGGCAAATATTCTTTCTCCAAGTGCTTCAACAATAGTTACAAGAGCTAATTCATCTGAGACATTGAAAAAATGCTTTTCAGTAGGCTTACTGGCAATTGATTTTATTTCCTCTACAAATTTTTCAGTACTTAAATTTCCTCTGCTATAGCTGCCAAGAATCTAAAGAGAATTAAAAAAAAACAAACAACAAAGTCAAGGATACATTTCATAACCTATTTTAAAAGATACAGTTGAGGCAAGTTGTCAGAGAATATTGGCATGTTCTAGCATCTCTGCACATTGGAGCAATTCAAATTTGGTTCTAGATGGGGATTTCATTGCTAAAAATTACTACAGCTTCAAGGACAATGTTTTATCCAGTGATCTCCAGTGATCTGAAGGAAACCACTGAAAATCTGTGTGCTGCTGGATTCAACTTTTGTTTTATGTCTTTCTTTAAATTAAATATAACATCTTTCCTGAAGTCTTATGGTTTCATACACCTTATTGTACCAAAACAAAGAAAGAGAGCAATGGTGCGACAACAATCCAATGTACCTTCAAAATTAATGACAGAAAACAGATTATTTGAGTATAGAATACTCAAATATAGTGGAGTTTCAACACAAATCTACCATTATTGCTTTCATATTTCTCAATACAGGTTAACCTCTGTCACGCTTATCTTCTCATTCTACTACTAAGGTTGCTTAACATGAAAATGACAGCTTTAGAATCCAGCACACAGCACAGCCACAATAAACTTGTGTTTTGCTGATGAGTTACATTTGCTGCCTTTTTTTTTTTAAATAGGTACACATGTCTATAGAAATTGCTTAGAATATTAAATTTGTCCACTCTCCTCAATATTGCTTTTAACAAAAGGATTTGATTTTAAACTATCCCTCAAACTCTTCCTCACACACCTGTCATCATCAGGAAGACAGAGAGATTGCTTTTCTTATGTGCTATAAAATCAGAAAGCAAATTTTTAATGTTTTTTTTCATTTTATCCCTTTTTTCCTCTCTGAAATAATTATGTTTCCATAAAGATTCTGTGAAATAAACTTCTATAACAGAAATTACATTTAGAAGATGAAACATGCTTTTAAGATTCTGAATTTTGCCATTAAATTTCACTTACAGCAATAGCAAATCTCTGAATGTTTTCATCTTCACAATCATCAATCACGTCTTGTAATCTGTAGTTGTCATGTGATTCCCCATCAGTAACAATAACCATTACTTTTTGTACTCCTCTTCGTGCACCATGAGCCTCTGTAAAAGCTTCTTTCCTAAAGGGAGCATAAAGCATTTTGGAGAAAGGCAATGTCAGCATTTCTCACATGCATCATATTTGCATAGGCAACCATAAACTAAAAGACTTTATATTAACTAAGAAGCGGGAAACGGAGATTAATATTAGCCATGAACAAATACAAACAACTGCAATTGGAACGTATATGGTGGTTCACAGCCAAAGTTTCACAAGCATTCATCCATTATTCACTCACTTGTGAGCAATAGCAGAACACAAATAAAGTTCTGGCACCTTAAAATGGCTTTTGGCTTCTTAAAAAGGATCCAACCAACACTCCCCCCATTCCAAAAACCCATGTAGAAAAACCTCACCCAGACTCTGGACCTGACAAGGCAAGGCTGGATTACAGCTTTGGAGGAGAAAAATGCCACAAAATTCTAAGACTGGCCATATGAGTGAAAGTTGAGATCTACTACTGAAGATGGATAAAAAGTGGATGGATAGGAAGATTGCAAGAACAGATTTGCTGACAGTTTCTCCATATGCAAGCCTGCAGCTGTTTATGGTGCACAGGGGCTTTCTGAACTAGATGTGGTTTCTGAGTACTTGGCAATTCTCAACTTGTTCTGCTTTCATGAACTTGTTCAGACTCGCTCAAGCTTCCACTTATATCTAAGGAAAACATTACTAGTGAATATATAAGAATTTTATTGGATTTAAGACATCATACCAACAAAACTGTGGTCTGATAATCAAGTAGGTCAGCAGAAGGATGCTGCACATTTCACTAAATGGTTATTTGAAAAGACTGAATGCAATCTTTTATGGAATAAAGTCATGCTGTCTTGATGGGAAAAAAACAGAAACGAAAAAAGATAACAGGACAACATTGTACAGTTTGAAATTTTCTGAGAGATTTTGCATTTCCGATCTGTTCTATGAAAGTCAGATTTCATTTTTCTCATAAAGGAAGCATTTCTAAATATTGTTATTCCTACAACAGATCTTTAATCTCCCATGATCCCAAAGCTGCAAAGACTTAGGATATAAAATTTCTAGTCTTTCTGACAAGTGTGGCCTCGAACATTGCAATAATCAACTTCAATGAAAACAAATTAGCATTAAAAAGTTCAATTTTTTAAATTTTTCCTCTGAAAGACCTAATTTCCTTCATCCCTCTACATACACAGTTCCTACCTGCTCCGTGTGGACATCAAATATTGTCAGCCCTTTCCTTAGGACTAAAACTTTGCTCCATGTCTATTCTTAATTCCTCCATTTAGGAGACAGTGGCCTTTCAAAGGTGCCATCCAGCATCTAGAGCACAACTGCTCTAGATGCTGGACACAGTCTGTTTTTCCACCTGCCTCCTAAAAGATGTTTGCTTAGTTAAAATGAAGTCAGATGCTAGCCATATCATATTTCTAACATATAAAATGAGAATTGTCATGATATCTGTATGTTTGCTTGTCCCACATGCAGGACAATATCCTGTGAATGTACCTTGCTGTATCTATTCCCAGGGCTGTCATAGTTTGCGTGCCACCTCGCTGGCGTATCCTTGTGGCTGCAGCCATAACATCTTCTGTTGTCGAGTATGTATTCAGGTAAAATTCATGGACTACAGTCTGTCCGTACTGAACAATTCCAACCTGAAACACACAGTTCATGTTAAAGATCAACTACAGTTAAAGGAAACATCTCTGACTCCTGAAGTGGGGTAAATGTCTGTCTGTACCAGCCAGGAAGAGAACTGAACTCTGTGTGTTTTCCTTAGTATGAAGCACCTATGTGTTTGAGCAAGACTGGCTAGCTGAACAGTCTCATGAAACATTTCAGAGTTTTCTAAATTGCATTTATTAAAAATTGGAATAAAGCCCAAAGCAGGCTCAACTCCTTGGTCTTCCTGGCTTGCTGTTATCTGTACGGAAACTCTGCTCTCCTCTAGGCAAAGGCGGACCAACGCCCCACCCACTGGTCAGAACTTCTCAAAATTGTTTTCCTTATAGCATGCAAGGTCATGGCTCACTCACAACTCTCTTCATTCCATTCAAATGTAATATTCCTACATCTGATAGTTTATTTACCCTAAACTTAGCCTAGAAACAGGAAGACTCAATTACCCTTATCTTGATGAAGACAGCGGGGATGTCCATGACATGGACGTTCTCCCAGCAGGAGGTAAGTATCACCTGGCAAGTACTAGAGGGGAAAACATGGACAAAGTGGAATTTTGTGGCTTCTGGAAAGGGGGAGGGTAGTGTAAAGACTCTAGATGATCTTAGCAGGACAAGACTTTGTGCAAAAATCAACACGCGGGATTGGAACCTAACAACAAAATGCCTGAGGGAACCTGCTGCAAAATCAAGTGTGAAATAAAAAGAGGAGCAATATTCTTAAATATTAATTAATTTTTCTCATTCGTCTCTGTCAGTTTTAATATTTTGGCAAGTTCCTGACAGCTTTTACTAGGAAGAATCTACACAATGTTCCATTAGCATATTTCAATTTTATGTTACACTTGGCAATTTATAGGTGTTATTTAGGATAATGCAGTATTATGTGGCATTTATGTCTCACTCATCTATTATTAATAGCACTCTAGCATTTAGGTTCTGTAGATCAATAAGACCTCTGGGAGGTTTTTGCCATCATCTTATTTTAGAAATGGTTTAGAATGTACTTTGCAATTGCTTTACAGTTGTGGGATTTTTTCAAGTGCTTTCATAGCCTCTCAGATTCTTCACAGTTTGTTTTTGCTTGTAGTAGAAGAGTTAAAGTTGGATAAATACTGAACACCAATATCATTATGAAATGCTAGTTACATGTGATTATAGTGGAGTGTGGTAGCAAAATCCCACTGAATTTCTGTATCCTTTAGAAAATACAGCCAAATCTGGAAGAACTGATGTACGTTCAAAGTTACAACAAGTTGCTCCCTTTAAGATATTTAAATTGTTTCTTGGAGGTATGCCCTCTTCCACCTGCAGCTGAGAGAATGCAGAGGCTGCACGTTCTCCTGAGCAGCAGACCATTACCTCTGCACAGTGTTTACAGAACTGGCCAGGGCACACTCTGTATTACCACTCAGAGCAGTCATGTGGCACAGACTAACCTCAAGACGAAGATGAAAATTTTAACCTGTTCCCTCCAACACAACTATTTTGTGGCGTGCATTTAAAGGGATATACAGCATTATCTGAATAGGATGCTGTTAGTCTTGTAAAAAGACTGCAGTTAACTGGCAAGAGGCTTTCATCGTGTTTGGTCTTTTGGAGCAGGAGGAGTGGCTTAAGAATTCCAGTATCACGCACCAAGTGTAGACAGAGACTATTGTATGCTAGGGAGCGTGTCATGTGGATTCATTGGCTCCTTATCTGCAGCTTTGAGGATTTATTGGTATCAGAAATTGAATCATACATTGACTGCTACCGGTGTGAAAAGTATCTGCCAGTCAGTCTTCCATGATACTAGAGACCCATATTGGTTTTGTCAGTTTCCTAAAATGATTGCAGGCTGACACTGAGTTGTATCATTTCCTATTTGAAAGGAAACATCTATGATCACAGCAAGTAAACATTTTGAGAACTTCCTTCTCAGGAAGTGAATGGGAAGAACATCTGAGTCTGAAAACTGAACCTGTGTTGCATAGCTTGTAAATCAGGAAGGAAAGGGGGCATGTGGTTATCTTATGGGATACAATTGTTATGTGGGACCCTTCCTTAGCACTAGCTTTGAAAACACGGATCATCATGTTCTATGTATTCCATGGCATCAAAGGTGAGCCATTCCTCAATAAAAGGTAACAAAAAGCTCACCAGAACTGACAAAATGCTACAACACTTCATGTTCCAGTCCCCTACAGGATCACAGAATAAAGTCTACCTTGTAAAATTAGAACTATATTCTATTAGATAGCAATGAAGGTTTGAGCTTTTGCAGCCTTTTAATCTTGCGGAAAACTACAAGTGACACATCCACGTGATGCAAATGTGCCTATGTGGGACTTCAGCAAGCCCCTGCGAATGATGCTTACAGGCATCGTATGTTCTGATTTTCTTGTTTAATTTAAAATAATTTAAATCTGGAAAATGCAAGAGTACTGCACAGAAGGGTGTAATTCTACTCTCCTCTAGAGAACCTATTATTTTCCCAGCATTACTGACCATAATCTGTTGAACATCTTTGTAATTTTTAACTTTGTGTTCCCTTCCCTAGCATTCCATGGCTTTTACATTACACAAGGGAATAATTCTTTAATTGTCCCCAGTTCCTGTGAAAAGTGTTGTACAAGAGAACAGGCAAGTGAAAGACTGTTCTACTTTGGGACAAAACAGTTCTAAGGGCAACAATTTATTGTTTGTAAGTGAATACAGCCCCTTACTTGGAAAGCACATTCTGGCTTTCCTAATAAATTATTAAGCTAATTTATTTGGCAAAAAGTAACAACAACAGAAATAACAAAATGAAAGAAAAATCATTTAGTACATGAAATCATAAGATAAGATTTTCAACATTGGGATGTGGAGGAAAATCAGAAATATTTTTGGACGTACTTTTATCAAACATAAAAGAAAAGCAGATATGCCTTCAGAAGCACTAACGGCTAATAGCTCTTATTATAAGAATATCTTCATAAAGATATCTGAACTGCAAAAAAAAATTAATTCATTTTCCCACATTTAGTTTACTTTAAGACAGAGGTTACTTATAAACTATTGCAAAGATCTTTCTTTATCCTGAGTCTTTATAATACCTCTCAAATATACGTCAGTTCTTCTGAAGACAAAACTGATTGTAAGATATGACATGGCATGACTTATTAATCTACTGATACAGTCCCTTTGGAGACATAATAAGGTACAGGCCAAACATCTATAACTGCCTATGTCATATATTAATGAAAAATAAAACCTGTCTGAAAATTTCTGAAGGCCATTTCAACATTGCTTAAAACTGGAATTGAATTTATCAAAGTATTCTGCTTTCTCTACTGAGAGAAATCCACAGAAGGTTACTCATATATAAAGGATTAAAAAAAACCCCACGCCCTCATATTAAAAAGACAATTATCTCCACAAAAGTTAAAAAGAAGGAAAAAAACCTGTCTTGTATTGCAGTTAGTGGAGAAAGGACAGGTGAAATATTGTTATTTTCTTCCCATTAGTACCATTCTTTCTTTCATAATTTCTCCTTTCTTTTTCCACTTTTCTATCATCACTTTCCCTTTACTTTTTTTATCTCAAGGCCCAAGATATGCAGCTTAACCATCAGTATGATGTTGTAGGTTATCTGGAGAAGGTAAAGAGGAAGAGAAGGAAATGCTTCTGAAAAAAAAATGCCATAAAATTTGGCTTTTTCATATGAAACTTTGGGCTTTCGCTTTCAAATCTGCCAAACATGGAACACCGAACAATTTCTCTCCTAACTTGTCACAAATCTAATGACCATTGTTCATGAAGGGGATAAGTAAAAAAAAAAAACAAAACAAAACCAAACATCTCACAAGCCTCTAATCAAAACAAGGTTTTGAACAAGTCACACCCAAGCTGCTACGGACTCATTCTGTAATCACCTCTTTCCTTTCCTGTGCAAAACAATCTTAAGTCAGTGAAAGTCCACTGGTTTCTACATGCTGAGCAATAAAAAATGAAAATGGAAAAATCAATTTAAACAGACAGAAAGTAAACTATTTTTCCTGTGCTTCTATTCTGTGCTCTCAGAGAAGAGAAGATAAATAAGCCTGCTCTGTTGTTTCTCTTCTTCCCCATTGTAAGGTCATTTAAACACTTTTTCTGAGAAAGAAGACGTGTAGGTGTGGGAGAGAGGATAAACCTATTACTTTGGATATGCCTGGATTCCAAGCTGGGGGCTCAGAGGAGAGGAGAGAGATGAGATATGTTCTGGGGAAGGAGGAAGGTAAGAGGGACTGAGAAAATTCCACTCAGCCTTTGCCTTCCATTTCCAGTGTTTCAGTCTCTCTCCTCCTTATCCTATTCTTATCTCCCTCTTAAATGTTTCTGCTCTGTAGCAAACAAATGCCAAAGCTGACGTTCTCAAGTGAATAAGTGTACGTGTGAGAAGAGGGGTAGCTATGCCAAACTGTGAGTACAATGGGTTTTGTAGGTGGAGATGTCAGGCTGCTGGAGTGCAGGCCAGCAAAGCACCTTTTGTCCACAAGCTGAGCCACACAGATGAGGCAGTATTCCAAAACCAAATATAACAGAGGTGTGGCCATGTAAAAATTTAGGAATTGCTGGGTGAGGAAGAGGGCTGATGGTGCAGTAGAGTTGATTTCCCTGTGTACCACTCCCATGAAGGCCTTTGGGCAGAAGACAGTAATGATTTCCATGCAGCACTTGCCCCATACTGGGAAGTTCAAATTCAAGTATTTTAAGATGGCACATGTTTGAGTAATCTTCAGTTTAAGGGACCAGGAAGAATTTCTCTTTTCTTTCTGTTAAATTTTACAAAGTGTTTTTCCTTCTTCCTTACAATATCTGGAAGAAAAGTGTGTTTAAAATGACAGGACATGATTGTAAAGTTCACAGTTCATAAGTTACTTTATCAGCCAGTATTCAGCACAGCCAACAGAGGTGGCAACTTGAAAACCTCAATTAACATGAAAAATGGCAGGGATACTCTCTGCAGACAGAGATATTCTTTATGCCTTCTCACAGTCTCCTTTGTGAAGGCAGGAACTGAGTGTTAGGAGCTAACCTGAAGTTGCAAAAATGCAACATTGGCCTGCAGCATATCAAATGTTATACAGGGGCCTGGAAAATCCTTGATTTTGAGAGGTGGAAAATAGAGAAAGGGAAGAAACAGTGTCTTCTCTTGCTGTTAGTAAAAGTTTTGTGCTAAAATGTATACCAGAGTCCATGTTTCTCCCTTCCCAGAGTTCTCCTAGAACTGATATTTACATACTCTGTTTAGCAGTGAGACATATGCCAGATCCTCAGGGGGGTAATTGGTCGTAGCTCCATTAATTCTGATGGAACTGCACTGATTTATAGCAGCTGGGAATTTGGCTCTCTCCACTTATTATATAAATGCAGCTTCTGCCATTAATAACATGCAGCTTAACAGCCACTCATTAATAATGATTTCAAGGTTTAAAAGCTGTATGCCCAACATTCCACAGAGAATGCTGCTCCAAAAAACTTACAATCAAAGGCTGTCCAAACCACGCATGTGTGCCTCGGAAGAGCAGAAATAACCTTTGTGCTATGAAGTACAAAAGAAGACAAGAAGTGGCTGTGGAGAGGAAGGAAGTGGGAAAGGACAATGTTCAAACAGCCTCACTTAATGCACTTAACTTTTGTCTCTACATTAGAAAACTGGCTTCTCCAGACTGCCTGAGCCGTGAGGGGAGGGACGGTCTTCCTGACATTGCTACTCAATGGCTGAGTACCGACTTAGTTGTGGTTTCAGCTATTTTACTTTAGTATTCTATTGCCGTAAGTTCTTGGAATTGAAGAGGTCCATAGATGACTCTTGTCCTATTTCCTGTAAATCCTTTTTTGATTCTCAAAAACCCCATAAAATAACTACTATGTTACCTGTGTTTGCTGAGGGCCTATGTCCATGTTGTTCAGGAGGCTGTTTAGAAAGGCTGTGACACTCTCCCACGGATAAATGCTGTTAGACCCATCGAGGACTATGATGATGTCCAACTGGGTTTTACACTCTGCAACACAGATTGCCACATAAAAATTGACACTAACAAGGATCAGACATATCAAACAGCTACTAATTACTTTTGTAATTAGTAACAAATGTATATCTTTCTGCAGTGGGGCTGAACTGGCGTATGTGATGCCAAGTATCATTCTTCAACTTTTGCATTGTATTTCACGTGATTTGTGTTTCCTTTATGAGAAAGGGGTTTTCTTGTAAGCAGAAATTTAAGACTGGGAGCAGAAGATCACATAACTGGAGCATTCAACAGTGACTCCCTACCTTCTTTAACATCAGTCTGTTTCTCTACAGTTTTTCCAAAGGACTGGGTCTTTTAACATTTTTATGCATATTACTGAAGTGGGTTTGTATTAGGTCTCAACATGCTGTCATTATTTAAAAAGAGTCTTTTGGCCATAAGTTAAAAACATAAGCAACTATTTTTAGCAATTGTGTTTGGATGTTACATAGCACTGTAATGATTGTTTATACTGAGATAAATTCCAAAAGTAGGAACAATTTAGGTTATATACGGACAATGAAAACATTTACTTAACTTGGTAATGCTGGTAGCTAAGTTAAGCAGTTCGGGTTTTTTATATATGCATATGTGTATACATTTTTCTTGTTTGGCACTTTTTATTTTCGGACACACATGAGAATTCCTGTGGCATGCATACCTTGCACAGATGGAGCAATGGCCTCAATGGTTTCAAAAGTGGAGCTGACATTAGAGCAAACCCCAGTTGTGTAATGCAAACGTCCACATTTATAAGCATAAAGTGGTCCACATGCCTTTAAAAAACAAGAAAGGGTGAAATGTTTTTGTTATGATACCTGAGGAGAAAACGGATTTTTAAAATTGGCAAAAAGTCCTTTCTTACCAGAAACCCTCCTTTTGGGTTAGTCACTAAGGTTGTTCCAAGGGTCATGTTTTCTTTTACTTCCACAACATTAGGAACTGAAGTAGCAACTATAAATAGATTAAAATGTTAAGTATTTGGGAACATGAAAATAAAATGCTTAGGTATATATCCCCTAGTATGGAGCTTCCAGCTTCTAAAATAAAACCCAGACTGACAGTGGTTTCATCAAATATTTTAGCACCCTTCCTCCTCCTTTTTCAATTGCAACAATCAAGAAAAATTTCTGGGACTGGCTTTTATCCCAGAAAATTTGTCTGGATTGCTGTCTCACATAGTTTTCTCAAACTGCAAAATAAGAAAAAAAAGTAAAAATAACAGCGTAATGAAAGCAAGATACTACTACTCAGTTTTGTTAATTAAAAAAACAAATTTTTTTTTTTACCTTGTGATAAATGACTTAACAGTTTTTATATATGCTACTGTTATGTTACATTATAGACATTTATGTTTTCAAGGGAAAATAAAAAATATCATGACAGGCATATTTAGTGAAATTCATATTAAAAGGAAGTCTCTTCCAGTCTACATCATGTATCTCTTGACACGAGCAAGGAAATTATTAATATTTACCCATGTTATATTAAGATGCATCAGCCTAGTGACATTTTCATCAAAAGCTTACTGATGGCATTATGAAGGCTCTTGTTGGCTTTGGAGAGCTTTGAAAAGGGTAATCCATGAAATTATGCTCCAAGGCCTTTCTGGCTCCATGGCCAGGACTGCCAACCACAGAGAATTAATGCCAGTCATAATAAAGTTTTGATAACATAATCACATGCCCATTCTAAAATTATGAGCATGTTTTCCATAGGACAGTGAAAAGCCTTAAAATAAAATAATTTTTAATGTTACAAACACAACTTCCTTCCCATTTAGCTCTGGAGTCCTACATGACTTTTCCATATAGAAATATTTCTAATGCATATTTACTATCTCAAAATCTCCTAAGATCTGACCTCTGTTATTGCTCCATATGACACAGAGATATTTCCTTTAATACCTGGCAAGTTCAGTTTTATGCAGGGTGACTGGCTGTCCCTTCCTACAGGGCATTTGTAGACATCGCCTGTTCTTTTCTCAGGTTGGCCAACTAATGGTGAACCAATAAGTACCCTGCAAATGAAATAAGTTACTTCAAATTTCTTCTATCTTACAAGGCACAAAAGTCAGCAAACAAAACTTACAGAGAGAGCACAGCTGCAGCAGGCTCTGTACTAGTAGTATGGGATGGAGAACAAGAGAAGTATCTATTATCCTAGTTCAGATACAAGCAAAATAATAAGGATACAGAAAGGAAATAGGCAATATACCAAATTACAGCCTAGAATAACATTTTAAAAAAATTACAGTGAAAAATAAAAGCAATATTGATGGATGAATGACAAGTACTAGAAATAATACAGAAGGAAAGATTTGTTTTATTTAATATATCCTTGCTCTTTACATTATTTTAGATGAAAACCTCTTTTCAATGCTCAGAGACCACATGTCAAAGGATAGGCTCACAAGCACTCAGAAGAAGAATTCAGTCTTAAATAATGTGAGGCAGCAGCGTAAAATACATAATTTTCTCTCTCATTAATAAAAAATGTTATTATAAGAAATTTCAAATTTTTAAAATGCAGAGAAGCTGAGTGTGCCTGACATCCTATGGAAGGTGATCAGTGCTCATCAGGTTCATGTGCCTGTGCTGTTCCTTTCTCAGAAAAAAAGAGCCCTGTGAAGAGAGGTAAGTAGTCTGAAAGGCTGTTTTGTCTTTTTGCACGAGGGATTTTTTTAGGGGATCCCAGTTTAACTGAGAAACAACCACAATCAGGTTCACAGACTGTTGCTGAAAAGCTCTATCTGTAGTATACAGGTAGCATTATAGAAGTTGAAAAAGCATCAAAAGGCTGTTTCGTATATTTATTTTTAACTATCAACCAACAATTTTTCTGCTCTAGATGTAGATATGCTGAAAGCTTGACAATTTACAGTGGCTCTAGAGTTTAATTTCAGAGATGTCCAGACCTTGCACACTAGTTCTTGTCACTGTCTTCCTTTGGCTACTGGTAGAGTCACTCTTTCCAGCTCATATTATTGTTTGGTTTTGAAATGTTTCAGGACAGTTTACAACAATACAGCTTACTTTGCAAAATCCAAGCTCCTAGAACGGATTCCCTTTCTTGAAAGTTTAAATTAGCTCAAAGAAGGTCATTATTATTATTCTCTCATGACCCTCATGCAAATGTGTATTTAAACATCCTACAGTCTCAGCAATTGAGAACTAGGCTATTCAAAAGCAGGCTATGCAATTTCACGTCTGTGAACATTCCCTATGGCTAACGGTGAACACAGTGTTGCAGCGGTGGACAGACTCTGGGAGTCAGGCAGTTCTGGCACTTTCAGGGGAGATTGCTTGGGCACTGCAGAACAGTCCAAACTGGCTGTCGCTCCTGGCTGCCTGCAGGAGTCCCTGGCTTTACCAAGAATGTCAAATTACTGACAAAGCTCTGGGAAAACCAGAGCAATCTTCAAAGAATGATGGAGATCTCAGGTTTCCCAAACCTCTTACCATGCAATTGTTTTTTCAGTCCCCCAGACCAGTCATCAGCCTGTGAAGCTTGTTTTAACAAGGGAAAAGCATAAGCAGGTGTTTATCAAAAGACCAAGAAGCAATGATATGAGTAAGCATGCCAAAACGCAACCTCCACTTGGAACAACAGGAAGGAAAAGAGAGCTTAAGATAAAGGCTCCAACTCCCAAATGCAAATATATTACCAGTTGCAAGACATAATTAGCCCTCCAAAAGGGAAGGCTGAGGGAGTACTGTACTAACAAATACTTTCCCACCAGTTAAAAAACTCAGTTCAGACAATCTCTGACAGAAGACTTTAGAAAAAAATACGTTATACAGATTATTTAGGTAGAACAGGAGTAATTTCACGGCAAATACATTAACAGCAGGAAAAGGCAAAGACCTCATTTGGTAAATGATAAAAACAGGGCTCAGGCAAAACAGAGTACTTTCTAAGCTTCATCAGTGAGGGAATTTACCGCTTTTGTGAAGTTACTTATGTCTTTGAGGAGACAAATGGAGGTATGAATGTGGATCTTTTACTTTCCCAGTCTGTTCAGGTTTCCTCAGGTCTGTGCTTTAATTTAAGAAATATGTCTGACAGAATCTGACCCTTACTTGAAAACAGAAGAATAGCACCTGAGTCAATGAATAACTCCTATTTTAGAGTGTTCATTTTAAAAAAAAAGGAAAAGGGCTTACCATTTCCCTTCCTCATTTTCATACTGCTGGACTGTGTACCCAAACATGTCTTCCAGAGGCCCACTGAAGGTCATTGCATTTTTCACATCAACATTGGAAGTGTGGACAAGGTGAAGGAGAGCTTTAAAAAAGATATTATTTCAAAAAAATTAGCAGGTAGCAATACATACAAACCCCAACGCTTCTAAGGAATCAAGGTTCAATTAACCAAACGTACAAGATGGTTTGAAAGTGGCATTTGGGGCTATGCATCACAGTTACAGATATTTACATACTTCCTCATACACAGATACACAACTGAATTCAGAGACGTTAGCAACTGGACTTCTGTATCCAAAACATACTTTGCAAAGCTCATCACTCATTTTTAAATCAAAATTCAAATAACATTAAGTAAAACATTATTAAGGTTAACATTATGTGTAAAATAACTTTTTAGTTATTTTTAATCCTTTTAGCTTCATTAATTTCCAGTGTAAGAACTTTACACAAAATATGCATTCCCTCATTCAAGGTAGTAGTTCTCAAGGTTTCTTAAATTGAGAATTAACTAATTTTTAACTCTTTGCAGAAGACACATATAGGAAAAGAATAAGGAAAAGCCTTCAGATGTACTTAATCTATATTAGAGAAAAAAGTACAGAGTTTTCTCTTAATTCTATTCTAGAGTACCTGTAAACTTTCTGTATTTGGAAAAGAACAGAACAGATTTTTAACGTAACGATATGCTGATATGTCCATAGTACTTATATAGGATTATTTGCAGAACTCCAACATTTATACACGTAGGAAAAGTTGCTCTACAATGGTGATCTTGGACTACGATGAGGTAAGTCAAAAGAGCAAATGCTGCTTCTGACTGATTTCCCATACCCTAAAGTTCAGTGATCATCATCAAGGAAAATAATGTAAAAATATAACTATAAGCAAGCTTCAGAAAAATGTGGTATAAGGTAAAAATCTAGCTTGAAGCGATACCCACAACCCACTGCAAGGCTCCATAAGAAGCAAAAATTACTATTGATATATAAAAATAAAGCTATTTATCTTTTCTTCCTTTATTATTTCTTATAGTGATCTCTTCCATCTTTGTCCTGTAAGTATCAAAAGCAACCACTGACTCTGCTGCTGCAGAGCTGTATATTTAATTTACAAGAGCCAAAAATTAGTTGAATTTGTAGAACATCAAGGCTTCTTAAAAACACAATTATACATAATTTTAATTTAGTTTTAAAAAAGCATTTCCTGATCATTTGCTGACATTTAACCATTACATAAAAACACCCAAATCCATAAAACTTGCTGCATGTCAAAGCATCTACATAATGTGCAGTTACTAAAACAC